TATATACAAAATATACATTATAGTTTGAGTATGTTATCTCTTTGATAATTCTTTTCTTTCTTTTTTTTTTTTTTTAAGATGCAGACTTTCTTTTTTATTTTATTTTTCCCCCCAAAGCCCCAGTAGATAGTTGTATGGCATAGCTGCACATCCTTCTAGTTGCTGTATGTGGGACGCAGCCTCAGCATGGCTGGAGAAGCGGTGCGTTGGTGCACCCCTGGGATCCGAACCCGGGCCGCCAGCAGCGGAGCACATGCACTTAACCGCTAAGCCATGGGGCCAGCCCTCTTTGATAATTCTTCAGGAGGTAGTTATGACGCAGAGCCTCAAATCCGTCTTTAATTGTTTGAGGATATTTATGTGCTTATTAGTAATCCTGAATATCCTTTGTTGCATTTTAAATTGCATCATCATGTGACCTAGTATTAGATTATTAATTCCATTTTAAGGATATTGCCAAGGTTGAAATGAAAGTAGTTTTTTTAAGAATCTCAAACGGATGGGTAGAATAATTCTTTGTCATACTTCCTGTTTCTTGCAAAAAATTTTCTTTTATAAAGAAAGTGTAACACTCATATTACCCATACTAGCTATTTTTATGGATAATCTGGTAAAAATAGTGGTTTAAAAAGTCTATTGCTACATCAAGGATATATACAGTTATCTGGGTGGGGAGAGTTCTATTTTTGTACTTCTCAGAGATTCATTTAATTCAGAGCCCAAAGTGATCACCATCTGATTAGAAATGTGTCAGTGTTAATATTTGCTGCTAGATTTTTTCCTATTATAGTTTTATGTTTTTAATTAACTATTTTCTGAGTTGATCGTAAAACACTGTGATGCATGAATAGATAAAAGAATGAAAGTGTAATTAAAAATAAAGTGACCTTTTTTCTGAATTCTGGGCTTATTCAGCTTCTTAGGGTACAGCCACCCAGAGCTAAGTCCTAAAAATTTTCTTGTATGTATTTTATATATGAGAAAGGATTTTCATCATGTTCTTGTATTTTATATTCATAATAAGGAGTCAACAAACTTCTTCTGTAAAGGGCCAGATAGTAGTAAATATTTTAGGCTTTGTGGGAGATATGGTCTCTTTTCCAGCTACTCAACTCTGCCATTATAGCATGAAAGCTTCCATAGACAATATGTAAATAAATGAGCTTGCCTGTGTTTCCATAAAACTTTATTTATGGACACTGAAATCTGAATTTAATATAATTTTCATGTGTCATTAAATATTATTCTTTTGATTTTTTTTTTCCCCCAACCATTTAAAGATGTAAAAACCGTTTTTAGCTCATGGGCTGTACAAAACCAGGTAATGGACCAGACTTGCCTGGAAGGCTATCATTTGCTGACCCCTGCTCATAATAATCCTGTGAGACTTTGCTGACTGCCTTCTGTTTTTTCTTCTTTCTTTTAACATTATTTTCTGTTTTGCTTATTTTGCTATTTAATCATATGTTTCTTTCATTGTTAATGTGTGTGTAACTTTTTAATGTTAATAATTTTAAAAATTTTAATAATTTTTTATTAAATTTTAAGCTGTGAAGGGTAGGGTCTATAATATTGGCCTCTTTAACGCCTTGCACATTTATAAAAGTTAAATGCTCAATACATATTTGGAAGAGTTGGAAAGGAATAATATCTGTCATCTAGTATTTGAAGGACTGTTGTGTAGATTGTTTTATATATTAAACATATGTTCCAGAATGGTTTTCTTGCAATAATGAATAGAAGTAATGGGGAGGCAAAACTCACCTCAGAATGCAGGGCTAAGAGAAAGGAGAGACAGAATCTCTTATTGTGTTCTTTGTGTCATAGTATATATTATGGTCAATGATATGGACAGTCCCCTATTTAACTTGTACAACTCTTCTATATAGGTATATGTTTACTCATTTTACAGATGAAAAAACTTAGATAAAATATCTTAGGCTTAGTGGTGTAGCAGAATTTGAACTGAGACCATGCTCTTTCCATATACTTTTTTTTTTCTTTTTACACTAAAGGATATTCAGCAGTTAACCAGGCTGCCTTAGATGCTAGCTACTTACCTATTGCTACAAGTTTTCATACGCATCTTAGATGACCAAGGATAGAGACGTTTTTTAGAGAAGGTGAAGTGTTGAAGAACCTCCAAGATAAACTTTCAGATTCTTTGAATATGTGATTATAAAGGACTTTATTTATTTATTTATTTATTTATTTATTTATTTATTTTTGTGAGAAAGATCATCCCTGAGCTAACATCCATGCCAATCCTCCTCTTTTTGCTGTGGAAGACCGGCCCTGAGCTAACATCTATTGCCAATCCTCCTCCTTTTTTTTCCCTTTTTTCTCCCCAAAGCCCCAGTAGATAGTTGTAAACTTGTCATAGTTGCACACCCTTCTAGTTGCTGTATGTGGGAAGCCGCCTGAGCATGGCCGGACAAGCGGTGCATCGGTGCACGCCCGGAATCCGAACCCGGGCCAGTAGCAGAGCGCACACACTTAACCGCTAAGCCACAGGGCCGGCCGCTAAAGGGCTTTATTTTTAAATGACAGGTAAAACACATTTTACCTCTTGTTTTTGTACATAAACTCTTACGTCTCTTTAAAAGTCTTGTTTCACAAAAGTAAATTAGTAGAATTGCACAATGAAATAAGATTGAGGAATTTACATGAAGTTTCTATCAAACTGTATGTTTAGTAGAAACAAATGATTAAATCAAACTTTAAAGCCAGCCATTCCAACTAATTTGCTTGAAAGAAATTTAATCGAGTCAGGCTAAATTAGGTAAAGATCAAAAGTGTAAATTAGAGTTTCTGACAGAGTAAATAATTGTGGAGGTTCTTGACTCAACAAACATTTTGAGTGTCTGTACTGCTGTGGGGGAGCTCAGACTAGTGAGAGAAGTGAACAGTGATAGAGATGTGAATGATGTGCTGTGGGGGCACAAGAAGGGTATGTAATCCAGCCTGAGGGGGTAGGGGAAGAGATTCCAAGGGGACCCACCTCCTGGGAAGGTGATGTCTGAACTTATTTCTTTTCTCCCTTAAGCTTTAAAAATTGTTTTAAAATGCCTAGTTATTGCAAATATTAAAACAATCCAAAAGTATAAGTAGTAAGAAGTGTAAATCCCTATTAACACTTTCTGCTCTCCAATCCCCGTTCTTCAAGCTTAGACTTAATAGATTGGTAAATATGCTTCCAGATTTTTCCTATGCATATACCAACAAGTTTTTTCCCCACAAAATTGGACTCAGACTATATATAATTTTGTAACTAATAGTCTGTCATGTACATGTTTCCTTGTCAGTAGATAGATATAGATCAACCTCATTTAAAAACTTGCTGGGCCAGCCCCGTGGCTTAGCGGTTAAGTGCGCGCGCTCCGCTACTGGCAGCCCGGGTTGGGATCCCGGGTGCGCACCGATGCACCGCTTCTCCAGCCATACTGAGGCCATGTCCCACATACAGCAACTAGAAGGATGTGCAACTATGACATACAACTATCTACTGGGGCTTTGGGGAAAAGAGGGAAAAAAGGAGGAGGATTGGCAATAGATGTTAGCTCAGAGCCAGTCTTCCTTAGCAAAAGCATGGATGTTAGCTCAGGGCTGATCTTCCTCACAAAAAAAAAAAAAAAAAACTTGCTGCTTTACATAATGGGATGGATATACTATCTATTTCCTATTCTAGACATGTAGATTTCAACCTATTACAAACAGTGGATATCCTTGTACTGATATATTTATTTTCTTTTGTGAATTAAGTTTTAAATGAAGAATAGCATATAGGCAGATGAAGGGAGTAAGGATTAATTTGAAGGGGAAATATTTTCTAGCCTAGGGGAATAATATATAATTTGAAAAACACTGCTGAAGAAAATGACAGGCTTTTAGTTAGGGGAGAAGCATTTCTGCTTCCATGCTGTGAAAGTATAGCACCTCTTGTTTTCTTGAGCTGTATGCTAGAGTAGCTCATTTTATGGAATAGGTATCTCTGTACTGAATAGTTTTTAGTTATATAATTTTCTTATTTTGGAGATTAAAAACTGTATTTTCAATAAATGTTACCAGACGGAGAAGTAAAATCACAAACTAATGAAAATGATTATTCAGAGATCACACAGGCATTAAATGGGTAGTTCGGAATAGAGTTTATGTCTTAGCTATCTTTGTTTTCTTAGCTCTGTTGTCTAATTGAGAATTTCTTACCCAGAGTTCAAAATAGCTTTTTGGGTGGCTAGTCCCCTGCTATTATCCAGTTGAAATAAATTTTGGTTAATTCAAAAAATAGCTATTGGGAAGTTGCTGGTTTATTAAGTAGGTATCTGAAAATGGCATAGATGGCTTATGTATTATTTGCTTTTTTATGTATTACTCTTAAGTGTAAAATCTTATGTTTAAAAAGTTTTAGTTCCTGCTGTTTTGTTCCAAATTTCCAATTTTGGAATGTTGCCCTGTAGGGTAATATCAAGTACTAACTAATACTATAATTTTATTATTCTCCTGACAAATAAGAGTATCTGCTGATTTCTTAAAAATACATTGGAAACAAAATGGGGCATTAAACAAGAGTAACAACATTCTGAACTATTTCTAAAAGTAAAAAGTCTTTCTTTTTGGTTGCCAAGGGTGCTTTGCTGTTTGGTTACATGTGCTTTGTTGAATAGAAATCTGAGTCTTTGTATGGCTCAACTTTTAAAATTTCTTACTCATTTTTAAAAAAACATATGTTAAATAGTTTTAATTAGTATCATTAATTTGAATGATATGGATGCTTTGAGTAAATCAACCTAATGTATTCTCTCATTACCTTAAACAATAATTGTATTATTTGTTGTATTGCATAATTATGAAGTATTTATACTTCATCCTAAGGTAATTATTACTTTATGTGAAGTATAATTTTTAAGCATTCATATCTATTTTTTCACTTAGAGTTATTTTTCAAGAGTAAAGTATACATTTAAACATAAAATAACATATTTTATATTTAATTTTTCTAGAGCTGCTTTGGAAGAAGTAGAAGGAGATGTGGCAGAATTGGAACTAAAACTTGATAAGGTAAATTTTACTTTTTTAGCTTTTTAGAACATTAATTCTTGTTTTCCATAAATAATGATTTGTGCCTATAACACTAGGTGGTTCACGTTACTTCTTTTGTCTCTATGAGGATAAATGCTGTTATTTTACATATGAGGAAATTGAGGCTAGAGACATTAAGCAGCTTGTTGAAAATCTAAGTGCCAGAGCAAGAATTTGAACCATGTCTGACTTCAAAGCCCACTAGACATCATTTATATTGTTGGAAGTTTATTTCCTTCTCCATCAAAAACATTTCATCTATCTTTTTTTGATCCTTAATGGATTTCTTACATAACCTGACCATTCTTGTTTATAAATTTGGGTGTGGCCTCATTCAAATATAAATAAAAATTTTTTAAAATTAATTAATTAATTAATTTTTTTCCCCCAAAGCCCCAGTAGATAGTTGTATGTCATAGTTGCACAGCCTTCTAGTTGCTGTATGTGGGACGCAGCCTCAGCATGGCCGGAGAAGCGGTGCATCAGTGCGCGCCCGGGATCCGAACCCCGGGCCGCCAGCAGCGGAGCTCACGCATTTAACCGCTAAGCCATGGGGCCGGCCCTTAATATAAATAAAATTTTAAAATACTCATTCCATTTTTTAAAGCTAATGCCACAAATGCTTAATATATATTTAATAATTGATATTAAATGGTCATATTCTATGTAAGGGTAAATGTACATTGATTCCTAAGTTCTCTATTTAATTATTGATAATGTTTTGTTTTTTGCCATTACTCGAGAAACATTGCTATATAACAGGCAGAAATATGAGAATGAGTAAGACATGGCTTCTGATCTTAATTAACCATGGTTCAGTGAAATATCTCTGTTAAAATTTCTGGAGATAAATCAGATGCATATATTTGAAATACCTTTTCTGGAAATAATTTCCTATTTATGTAATTATTATTGTAAATGGTATTGCTATGTAAAGCAGTGCTTTTCAAACCTTACTGTGCATAGGAATCACCTGGTGATCTTATCTTGTGAAAATACAGATCCTGATTGAGTAAGTCTGGGGTATCTGAGAGTCTGTGTTTTTAACCAGATTTCAGGTGATGCCAATGCTGTTGTTCCATGGACCGCACTTTGAGTAGCAAGGATATAAAATAGATTAATTAGACTGAAGTTTTTCCAATGTTTTGAAATCTTGAAGTATATGTCTATAATGTAAATAGTATAGAAACTATGTAAAGCAGTAGTATTAGTTATACATATAAAAGAAAAGTTTTAGAAAATGTTTAGTAATAAGTTATTTTTGTGTAGTACTCTATAGTTTTCAAAGCACTTTGAGATACAGTATGTTTTTTGATTTTTACAATAATCCTATGAGGTAGGTAGGACAATTGGTATTATTCCCATTTTGTAGATGAGGATGCCAAAGCCCAGAAAGTGAAGGGGGCTTGCTTCACATCACAGAGAGAGAAGAGGCAGAACCAGGGTTAGAACCCATATGTTTTTATTCTTAGTTCAGTGCTCTTGTGCACCTCTGTACTTCTGGATCCATGTTGGGGGAGCACATGCCACTTGGAAATTTTCTGAGAAGCACTAGCAAGCCTCCAGGCAAGTGTTTTTTAAAAATTAATGTTATAATTTTCGGTAAGGATATTATTTTCAAAAACGTTATTTTCTATTTAAAATTATATGTATAGGATTATTATTGTTGTTATTATTGTTGTTGTTGCTTTTATTATTATTTTACCCTGAGGGTATTACATTTATTTTTAAGCAATCTTTGAAACAAAGTTTTTAAACCCTTAAGGTAGGAGACAGAAGATGTAGTTTTGATTGTCTGGTAGATTTATGAGAGTGTATATAGAAGGGCAAGCCTTTTTTTTTTTTTTTT